GTAGATGTCGCTGTCAAAGTAACCACCGCCGTCGAGCCTCACTCGCTCCTCGTCCTTGCCTAAGCCATCCTGGGCCGGGGGCGGCGGCGGCGGCGGCCCACCCTTGGCCAGGCTGGCCTTCCTGTTCTGAATGTCTTGGATCTGAGCCTCAACATCTGTGGAAACAATCGCATCAGTTACCTTTCCATGCTAAACCCACACGGGCACTAATCAGCACCCTAAAAATGGGTGACCGTCACATGCCTAAGTAATTAAGATTATTCAGATGCAGGTACAGTAGCGCCCCACTTATTCGGAAGGTTAGGTTCCAGGCTGCTGCCGGAAACAAGAACTCCATTTTTTCCATTTATAAATACATATAAATGCCAGATAACAAGTTTACACTAACATATATTAAGTTAACAACAGAACTAGGCATTAAAAAGTAAAATACACACACAGTACACTCATTATTTACCTCAAAATATTTGTAGTCTTAATGTAGGATGAGAGGTGAGTAGTAGTTACTGTAAGAAGTCAGGTGTGGTAGCCCTCCTGGCCCCCCCACCCACCCACCCACACATACTATACTACCATACTTAAAGCTCCCTAGAGTAATATAATGCATATATAGTACACGCATTACTTACCTTAAAATATTTGTAGTCTTAATGTAGGGTGAGAGTTGAGCTTTATTTGTATGAAGTCAAGTTGGGAAGTATGGGTAGCCAGGAAGGGCAGCCCTCCCCCCCCCCACTCACACATAATGTAAACAAACCAGACGAATGCGTCTGTTTTCATCACTTTACACTGTGTACAAGTCGCCTGGCTACCACAATTCCTACAGGTCACCTGGCTGCCACCAGGCTCTGGTGGCCTGGTGGCTAACGCTCTCGCTTCACACGGCGAGGGCCTGGGTTCAATTCCCAGCCAGAGTAGAAACATTGGACGTGTTTCTTTCCACCTGTTGTCTATGTTCCCCATCAGTAAAATGGGTACCTGGGTGTTAGTCGACTGGTGTGGGTCGCATACCGGGACACTGACCTAATTTGCCCGAAATGCAGAGCATAACAAGGGAGTTTCTATATAGTAGTATGTCATTGTTGTCAGCTAGGACTATATACCTTGTACATGTACTTGTAGTAAATAAAGATATTATTATTATTATTATTATATTATTATTATTATTCCTACAGGTCACCTGGCTACCACATCTCATTTATATTAATTTATTCTACTGTGAGGTGTATTTATATGGATTAAGCAAAATGTATATATATATGTTTTATATGATATTCAATGCTCCTTAGTGATTATTATTGTGCTATTATTATTATCATTATTAATATGTCATCTTCAAGACTAATAAGACACTCTTAGTGATTTTAATGTGTACCTGCACGCCAGCGCAGTGTGTAAGTTTACTAAGGTACAGGTACACATAAGTATAATTATCAGTTACAAAAATAATACAGGTATGTAGTGTGCCTGGGCGATATACCTACACCGACCTACATAGCTACACGATATTTAATGTGGCCCAGAGACATATTATTACCATTGTCATACTATGTTCACTGACTATAATCGTTTCTAACAACTACCTTTAGATGCCATCGTAAACAAAGGGAGAAGTAATGAATAATTCATGCTGAGAATTATAAACAAAAGTGTTATGTATTAAGGGGAGTGACGTAATGTTTTCCCTCCGCCCGGCTACCACACCTCCATAATATATAAACAAAATGTTTATATGTTATGTAACGTGTTTCTTATATAATTTTGAAGAAAATATCATAGATGGATTAATGAAAATGTGTACAGTGACATAAAATTAGACATTTAATTTGCCAAAGAGTGATTATTATTACATAATAGAGATGTGCATATAGAGAATGTAAACAAATTGGGTGGCCCGCGCTGTATTTGAAAGACCACTTGCCGTATAGAAAGTTTTGGTCATAATTTGAGATTGCCGTAGTAAAATAAAATAATAATTACAGAGTGTACCACTAGAACACCTAGCATGGCTAGGTATTACAGAGTGTACCACTAGAACACCTAGCATGGCTAGGTATTACAGAGTGTACCACTAGAACACCTAGCATGGCTAGGTATTACAGAGTGTACCACTAGAACACCTAGCATGGCTAGGCATTACAGAGTGTACCACTAGAACACCTAGCATGGCTAGGCATTACAGAGTGTACCACTAGAACACCTAGCATGGCTAGCATTACAGAGTGTTACCACTAGAACACCTAGCATGGCTAGGCATTACAGAGTGTACCACTAGAACACCTAGCATGGCTAGGCATTACAGAGTGTACCACTAGAACACCTAGCATGGCTAGGCATTTCAGGCAGACTTAAATTAAATCTTAAGTTTAAAATATTACAAAATTATGAGGTAGTTGGTATTATGGCTAAGTGACTAAATACTAGTTTGTGAGTTTAGCAATGTGAATGCTTTTGTTTTGGCACTATACATAGTTTCAGTATTGGAGTATCACAGGCCAACTTATGACTAGTTAAGATTCATTATTTTGAGATTGAGATTGATATTTCTGTTTATGGTCAAATGGGTGAGTGAGTGTAAGTGTGAACCACCAGGTGGTATTCGTGTAGTTAGTTGACAGGGTGTATCAGGGAGATAAGATGTTTTCTGATGGTAGTTTTGAAGGTGATGAATGTGTCTGCAGTTTTAGAATTTTCAGGTAGGGTGTTCCAGATTTTAGGGCCTTTGACATAGATTGAATTTTTGTAAAGGTTTAGTCGGACACGGGGAATGTCACAGAGATGTTTGTGTCTGGTGTTGTGCCTGTGGGTTCTGTCGCAACTATCAAGAAAGCATTTTAGGTCAAGGTTAATATTGGAATTTAAGGTCCTGTAGATGTAGATTGCACAGTAGTAAGTGTGGATGTACTGAACAGGGAGTAAGTTTAGATCTATGAAGAGTGGGGGGGGGGGTGTTGCCAGGGATGGGATTTAGTGATTATTCTTACTGCGGCTTTTTGTTGGGTTATTATTGGCTTTAGGTGTGTTGCTGCAGTTGATCCCCAAGCACAGATAGCATAGGTGAGGTATGGATATATAAGTGAATGGTATAGCGTGAGAAGGGCAGTTTGCGGCACGTAGTATCGTATCTTGGAGAGGATCCCAACTGTTTTGGATACTTTTTTGGTTATGTGTTGGATATGGGTGCTGAAGTTCAGGTTGTTGTCGAGGTATAGGCCTAGGAATTTGCCCTCATTATGCCTGGCAATTAGAGTGTTGTCGATCTTAATGTTAATTTGCACATCTCCTGCTCTGCTACCAAACATAATGTAGTAGGTTTTGTCAGTGTTAAGCGTAAGTTTATTGGCTGTCATCCAAGTCGATATTTTGATCAGCTCCTCGTTAACAATGGTGTTGAGGGTGGCAAGATTAGGGTGAGAGATGACATTAGTCGTGTCGTCAGCAAAGAGAATGGGTTTCAGGTGTTGAGATATGTTTGGAAGATCATTGATGTATATGAGGAAGAGCAGGGGACTAAGGACACTTCCCTGCGGAACTCCAGTATCAAGTGGCCGTGTTGTTGATGCTGTGTCTTTAATGGTGACATACTGATACCTATTAGTAAGGTAAGATTTGAAATAAGCAAGCGCATGGCCTCTTATACCGTAATGATCAAGTTTGTGGAGTAGGATGTCGTGGTCTACTGTGTCAAAAGCTTTTCTTAGGTCAATAAAAATTCCTAGCAGGGCCCTACTGTACACATAAATACAGTTACATAAATTATCATACATAGTAGTATATGTATAGTGGTCCTTGACACTATACACATTATATACATAGCTTAAATAACATTATATACATACATATATCACATATCTAGCATAAAATGTGCTGAAAGAAATAATTTGCAACGGCTGGTTTTCGTTACATTTCAAAGACATTATTATTATTATTATTATCGTAGTTGAGTGAAGGAAGGCTCAAGCAGCGTTCCTGGTCATCAATGGCCCACGTGGGTTTGCAGCTTCACCTCAATGAGCGAGTGATCAGTTAAACTTTAAAACTCCAGTAATAACCTCCAGTGGAGGCGCCGCCGCTAACTCCATTATGGTTCAACATTCCATTAAACCAACGTTAATCAAGCTGAAATATGCGACAAAATCCACATTATCAACTTCAATTTTAATATTATTATTATTAATAATAATATTTTGATTGTAATTATATTGAAACATTTTAATAAAATATTTTAATGCATTATTATTTTAATAATTGTTTTAATAATAATTATAAGTTAAGAAATAATTATATGAACAAAGGTCATGACAAGATTATTATTATTATTGTTATGATACGATTATTATATAATTGTATATTAAACATTCTCCATTATTATTAATCATAATTTATTATAATTATTACTGATATATTATTATAACTAAACTTAGAAGTTATTTAATTATTGAGGGACCACTAAACCTTGAGGGGCTATGCAGCATATGGGAGTTGTGATCCGAGGTGAAGACTGCCTCCAGCACCTTGGATCAAGACCCCTCAAGCCCCCCAGGGGTACGTAACACTAATAGGGGTCAAAGTCCCCCATTACCTTTGGTAAACACCTACCTAGGCCTACATGCACCTACCTACGCCTATATGCACCTACCTAGGCCTATGTGCACCTATGTAGGGTTACCTAGGCCTAGGTGCAGCTATGTAGGCTTACCTAGGCCTAGGTGCACCTATATAGGCCTCCTGAGAGGGTAATTAGCTTCCCTGGCAGCGACGTCATCAGTCACTCCCTCCACCTCTTCTCCCTCCATTACTCCACTTTCCCCTCCCTCCTCCACTCTTCCCTCCCTCCTCCACTCTTCCCTCCATCCTCCACTTAATTCTCCGCCAATTATCTTCCTTCACACCGCCAAAACAACGCCAAAAAACAGGTGAAAACTGACCCTCAGTTGTGAACTTGCGCACAGCCGCCATTTTTGTTTACACTGTGAGAGCGCGCATGCGCGCCACCCAGGGGTACCAGGCTTATTATTATTATTATTATTATTATTATTATTATTATTATTATTGTTATTCTTATTATTACTTTGTTGTTGTTACTTTGCTCACACTCCAACAGCACGTCAAGTATTAAAAACCATTTATCTCCATTCACTTCTATCAAAAGGACCCCAATGGAAATAAGTCACTGACTTTTTTGTGTTATCCCAGGTTGTCTACACATATGTTGCTATGTATGGACCCGGGTTCGATTCCCGGCGGGTGGAAACATTCCGACACGTTTCCTTACACCTGTTGTCCTGTTCACCTAGCAGCAAATAGGTACCTGGGTGTTAGTCGACTGGTGTGGGTCGCATCCTGGGGGACAAGATTAAGGACCACAATGGAAATAAGTTAGACAGTCCTCGATGACGCACTGACTTTCTTGGGTTATCCTGGGTGGCTAACCCTCCGGGGTTAAAAATCCCAACGAAATCTTATCTTATCTTAACCCTTCCTAGGCCGACCCTTACCCTGCCTTCCCTCAACCTTTACCACCTTCCTCCAACCCTTCCTAGGCCGACCCCTACCCTGCCTTCCCTCAACCTTTACCACCTTCCTCCAACCCTTCCTAGGCCGACCCTTACCCTGCCTTCCCTCAACCTTTACCACCTTCCTCCAACCCTTCCTAGGCCCACCCTTACCCTGCCTTCCCTCAACCTTTACCACCTTCCTCCAACCCTTCCTAGGCCCACCCTTACCCTGCCTCCTCAATCTTTACCACCTTCCTCCAACCCTTCCTAGGCCGACCCCTACCCTGCCTTCCCTCAACCTTTACCACCTTCCTCCAACCCTTCCTAGGCCGACCCCTACCCTGCCTTCCCTCAACCTTTACCACCATCCTCCAACCCTTCCTAGGCCGACCCCTACCCTGCCTTCCCTCAACCTTTACCACCTTCCTCCAACCCTTCCTAGGCCGACCCTTACCCTGCCTTCCCTCAACCTTTACCACCTTTCTCCAACCCTTCCTAGGCCGACCCCTTACCCCACCTTCCCTCAACCTTTACCACCTTCCTCCAACCCTTCCTAGGCCGACCCTTACCCACCTTCCCTCAACCTTTACCACTTCCTCCAACCCTTCCTAGGCCGACCCTTACCCCACCTTCCCTCAACCTTTACCACCTTCCTCCAACCCTTCCTAGGCCGACCCTACCCTGCCTTCCCTCAACCTTTACCACCTTCCTCCAACCCTTCCTAGGCCCACCCCTACCCCACCTTCCATCAACCTTTACCACCTTCCTCCAACCCTTCCTAGGCCGACCCTTACCCCACCTTCCCTCAACCTTTACCACCTTCCTCCAACCCTTCCTAGGCCGACCCTTACCCTGCCTTCCCTCAACCTTTACCACCTTTCTCCAACCCTTCCTAGGCCGACCCCTACCCCACCTTCCATCAAAACCTTTACCACCTTCCCCAACCCTTCCTAGGCCGACCCTTACCCCACCTTCCCTCAACCTTTACCACCTTCCTCCAACCCTTCCTAGGCCGACCCTTACCCACCTTCCCTCAACCTTTACCACCTTCCTCCAACCCTTCCTAGGCCGACCCCTACCCTGCCTTCCCTCAACCTTTTTCCACCTTCCTCCAACCCTTCCTAGGCCGACCCCTACCCTGCCTTCCCTCAACCTTTACCACCTTCCTCCAACCCTTCCTAGGCCGACCTTACCCTGCCTTCCCTCAAACCTTTACCACCCTTTCCCCCAACCCTTCCTAGGCCGACCCTTACCCTGCCTTCCCTCAACCTTTACCACCTTCCTCCAACCCTTCCTAGGCCCACCCCTACCCACCTTCCCTCAACCTTTACCCCCTTCCTCCAACCCTTCCTAGGCCGACCCCTACCCTGCCTTCCTCAACCTTTACCACCTCCTCCAACCCTTCCTAGGCCGACCCCTACCCTGCCTTCCCTCAACCTTTACCACCTTCCTCCAACCCCTTTCCCAGGCCGACCCTTACCCCACCTTCCCTCAACCTTTACCACCTTTCTCCAACCCTTCCTAGGCCCACCCCTACCCTGCCTTCCTCAACCTTTACCAACCTTCCTCCAACCCTTCCTAGGCCGACCCCTACCCTGCCTTCCTCAACCTTTACCACCTTCCTCCAACCCTTCCTAGGCCGACCCCTACCCTGCCTTCCCTCAACCTTTACCACCTTCCTCCAACCCTTCCTAGGCCGACCCCTACCCCACCTTCCCTCAACCTTTACCACCTTCCTCCAACCCTTCCTAGGCCCACCCCTACCCTGCCTTCCCTCAACCTTTACCACCTTCCTCCAACCCTTCCTAGGCCGACCCTTACCCCACCTTCCCTCAACCTTTACCACCTTCCTCCAACCCTTCCTAGGCCCACCCTAACCTGCCTTCCCTCAACCTTTACCACCTTCCTCCAACCCCTTTCCTAGGCCGACCCCTTTCCCACCTTCCCTCAACCTTTACCACCTTCCTCCAACCCTTCCTAGGCCCACCCCTACCTGCCCTTTCCCCCAACCTTTACCACCTTCCTCCAACCCTTCCTAGGCCACCCTACCCCACCTTCCCTCAACCTTTACCACCTCCTCCAACCCTTCCTAGGCCGACCCTTACCCCACCTTCCCTCAACCTTTACCACCTTCCTCCAACCCTTCCTAGGCCCACCCCTACCCTGCCTTCCCTCAACCTTTACCACCTTCCTCCAACCCTTCCTAGGCCCACCCTACCCCACCTTCCCTCAACCTTTACACCTTCCTCCAACCCTTCCTAGGCCGACCCTTACCCCACCTTCCCTCAACCTTTTTCCACCTTCCTCCAACCCTTCCTAGGCCCACCCCTACCCTGCCTTCCCTCAACCTTTACCACCTTCCTCCAACCCTTCCTAGGCCACCCCTACCCTGCCTTCCCTCAACCTTTACCACCTTCCTCCAACCCTTCCTAGGCCGACCCTTACCCCACCTTCCCTCAACCTTTACCACCTTCCTCCAACCCTTCCCAGGCCACCCCTACCCTGCCTTCCCTCAACCTTTCCACCTTCCTCCAACCTTCCTAGGCCGACCCTTACCCCACCTTCCCTCAACCTTTACCACCTTCCTCCAACACCCCTTCCTAGGCCCACCCCTACCCTGCCTTCCCTCAACCTTTTCCACCTTCCTCCAACCCTTCCTAGGCCGACCCTTACCCCACCTTCCCTCAACCTTTACCACTTCCTCCAACCCTTCCTAGGCCCACCCCTACCCTGCCTTCCTCAACCTTTACCACCTTCCTCCAACCCTTCCTAGGCCCACCCCTACCCTGCCTTCCCTCAACCTTTACCACCTTCCTCCAACCCTTCCTAGGCCGACCCTTACCCCACCTTCCCTCAACCTTTACCACCTCCTCCAACCCTTCCTAGGCCCACCCCTACCCTGCCTTCCCTCAACCTTTACCACCTTCCTCCAACCTTCCTAGGCCGACCCTTACCCCACCTTCCTCAACCTTTACCACCTTCCTCCAACCCTTCCTAGGCCCACCCTACCCTGCCTTCCCTCAACCTTTACCACCTTCCTCCAACCCTTCCTAGGCCGACCCTTACCCCACCTTCCCTCAACCTTTACCACCTTCCTCCAACCCTTCCTAGGCCGACCCTTACCCCACCTTCCCTCAACCTTTACCACCTTCCTCCAACCCTTCCTAGGCCGACCCTTACCCCACCTTCCCTCAACCTTTACCACCTTCCTCCAACCCTTCCTAGGCCCACCCCTACCCTGCCTTCCCTCAACCTTTACCACCTTCCTCCAACCCTTCCTAGGCCCACCCCTACCCTGCCTTCCCTCAACCTTTACCACCTTCCTCCACCCTTCCTAGGCCACCCCTACCCTGCCTTCCCTCAACCTTTACCACCTTCCTCCAACCCTTCCTAGGCCGACCCCTTTCCCCACCTTCCCTCAACCTTTACCACCTTCCTCCAACCCTTCCTAGGCCCACCCCTACCCTGCCTTCCCTCAACCTTTACCACCTTCCTCCAACCCTTCCTAGGCCGACCCTTACCCCACCCTTCCTCAACCTTTACCACCTTCCTCCAACCCTTCCTAGGCCCACCCCTACCCTGCCTTCCCTCAACCTTACCACCTTCCTCCAACCCTTCCTAGGCCGACCCTTACCCCACCTTCCTCAACCTTTACCACCTTCCTCCACCCTTCCTAGGCCCACCCCTACCCCGCCTTCCCTCAACCTTTACCACCTTCCTCCAACCCTTCCTAGGCCCACCCCTACCCTCCTTCCTCAACCTTTACCACCTTCCTCCAACCCTTCCTAGGCCGACCCTTACCCTGCCTTCCCTCAACCTTACCACCTTCCTCCAACCCTTCCTAGGCCCACCCCTACCCCACCTTCCCTCAACCTTTACCACCTTCCTCCAACCCTTCCTAGGCCCACCCCACCCCACCTTCCCTCAACCTTTACCACCTTCCTCCAACCTTCCTAGGCCCAACCCTACCCACCTTCCCTCAACCTTACACCTTCCTCCAACCCATCTAGGCCCACCCTACCCCACCTTCCTCAACTTTACCACCTTCCTCCAACCCTTCTAGGCCCACCCCTACCCACTTCCTCAACCTTTACCACCTTCCTCCAACCCTTCCTAGGCCCACCCCTACCCCCCCTTCCCTCAACCTTTACCACCTTCCTCCAACCCTTCCTAGGCCACCCTACCCACCTTCCCTCAACCTTTACCACCTTCCTCCAACCTCCTAGGCCCCCCCTACCCCACCTTCCCTCAACCTTTACACCTTCCTCCAACCCTTCCTAGGCCCCCCCTACCCTGCCTTCCCTCAACTTTACCACCTTCCTCCAACCCTTCCTAGGCCCACCCCTACCCCACCTTCCCTCAACCTTTACCACCTTCCTCCAACCCTTCCTAGGCCCACCCCTACCCCACCTTCCCTCAACTTTACCACCTTCCTCCAACCCTCCTAGGCCCACCCCTACCCACCTTCCTCAACCTTACACCTTCCTCCAACCCTTCCTAGG